TGATCACTGTAATGATCTTCTTACTGGACTTCCTAAGAAAACTATACATCCTTTACAACACGTACAAAATGCATCAGCATCCTAACAAAAACAACACAGAGAGATCAGATCAGTCCTGTTTTAAAAGAGCTGCACTGACTGTCACACTTAGGATAGATTTTAAAGCTCTGCTTCTAGTTTTTAAAGCTCAAAATGATCTTAAAGCACAGCTAACATCACAGAGTGTCTGTCTGTTTATGTTCCAGCACGTCATCTTAGCTGTGCAGATAGTGGCCTTCTACAAATACCCTCCGTAAAATACAGAAAACATGGAGAGACTCGTTCAGTTATTCTGCATCTAAACTGTGGAGCTCAGTTCCACCTTTTATTAGACAGTCAAGCTCAGTGTTCACTTTTAAGAAGCATCTAAAAACGTATCTCTTTAACTCAGCATGACTCTTTAACTAAAACTCTAAAACTCTCGTGGTGTTTATCTTCTAATTTGATCTTTTTTCATTTTCTTCTGATTCTAATAAATGCTAATGATTTCTTGTATAACTTATGTTTTATCACCTGTCTGTAAAGCACTTTGAGCTGCCACTGGCATGAAAAGTGCTATATAAATAAATATTATTATTATTATTATTATTACAGTTACAGACTGTAGCCCACAGTTTATCAGCCCCTCTTCCTCATTCATTGAAGAAATGTCCAGCTGATGAGGGTCTAGCAGTGGAGCTGTTGAGTTGGTTTGTGGGATCAGAAATGAAGAGTGACCCTGAAGCTGATGTCTGATATATTTCCTTTTATTGAACACAGAGTCGTACACAACAGCTTCATCATCAAACACAGCTTTAAAGAGCGCACAGAACACCTTCAACATATTCAGTTAGAGTCCCACTCACGCATTCACAGGACGGAGCAGCTGATATAAAGCACACAGATACAGAAACATAAATAAACTGATATTTCATATTTCAGCATTTACAAGAAGTACAGTGATGAAGAGAGACTCCCTCACAGCTATTCAACAGTAACATCCTAGAGAGAAAAGAAAGAGTGTAAAAGAAAGAAGAGAAAAGGAAGGAAAAATCAGAGATAGAAGGAAAAAAATGGGATGAAAAGGAAAGTGAAGGAAGGACACAAATAGTGGTGGGAGGAAAAGAAATAAGGAAAAAATAGGTAAAAAATAAAGCATGAAGAAAGGAAAAAGAAAACTGATGAAAAGGAAAGAGAAGGCAGGAAAAAGGAAAGAGAAGGGAGGGCAGAGAAAAGGAAAAAATAAGTAAAAATTAAAGCGAGAAGAAAGGAAAAAAACATGAAAAGAGAAGGAAGGAAAAAAAAGACAAGGGAGGCAAGAGAAAGGAAAAAGAAGGAATGAAAAAGATGAAGACAAGAAAGGAAAAATAAAATAATGAAAAAGAAGGACAATGAAGGAAAATAAGCAAAGAGAGAAGGAAGGAAAAAGAAGTGAGGAAAAAAAGAAACGAAGGGAAAAAATACAGAGGAGGGAGGGAGGAAAAAAGTGAAAAGAGGAAGACAAGGAAAGAAAATAACTGAGAAATAAAAGAGAAAATAACTAGAGTGAGTGTGAGAGAGAGGGAGTGAGAGAGGGAGAGTGAGAGCCACAGGGAAGTTCTCAGATATGTGATGAAAGTTCGATCAGATCTGATTTGAATTTTATTTCACAGTTTATTTTTAGGTATAAACAGAGATGAAAGGAGCCGTCAGTCTCAGTGAAGGACAGACTGAGGGGGAGGAGCCACATCTACACCAGATACACAGGCTGAGTGACGTCACAGCAGAACATCACTGAGAACCCTCTGTCTGCTCCAGGTAACTTTTCTAGGGTTCTTTAGTAAAGGTAATGGTTTTGTTTAGAACCTTGAGTTCTATGCATGATGAAACGGTTCTTCAGATTGATGGAGAATGTGTTGTATGTGGTTCTATATAGAACCTTTTAGAAAATGTTTTTATGTAGCACCAAAAAAGGTTCTGCTATTGTAACAAGCTTTACGTTGTAACCCGTTTTGGTGCTGCTACATAGAACCATTTTCTAAAAGCTGGTAAATAGAGCCATTACAAACACATCCTCCATCAATCTCAAGAACCACTTTGCCATGCAAAGAACCATTTAAGCATGAAATGGTTCTATATAGTCCACTATAGTCGTGTCGTCATTTTGTGGTTGGCGCTGTGTTCTTATGCCCATATTAGGAGCTCCGGGTCTGAGCTCCATTTCTCTATGGCCAGAATGAATAGGGTTTCTGAAAAATTGCCTCTATCGCCCCCTGTGTTCAATAACGATGTTCAGAACCCGATACGTTCTGTCCTGTGAACATTCTTCTCTCGAGTACCACTGGATCCCTTGAATTACGAGGTCGTCGTCATTAGACTGGCAGCCTCCTTAGTCAGGCTTTGTCAGTGTACATTTCCATGTTCAGACTGAGGGCAGATGAAAAGGAGTCAGAACAAAATCAGCAGGTTTCCCTGCAGTTCTCTGTTCTTCATCTGATCCTCACTGAAACACGATAGATCTTTCCTTTTAGCTTGACTTCAAAAGATCTACAAACGTATCTGCACTCAGGCTGATCCAGTACAGACTCAGCTTAATATCACTGCTCACCCCTGATAAACTGATTTAGGCTCTCAGAATATCCTCATTATTATTTTAATGCTGGTAACATTTTTCTGAGGACACTTTCTCGGGACGTTCGCCAGCTTTTTGTTCGACTTTTCCCGTTCCCGCCAGTTAAGGTGGAAAGGCCTGATATGGGGAGGTTTCTCTATTTCCGCTTAACAGCTGAGTAACTTTAACTTATTTTTGCTGTTTCACCGAACTAACAGGTCAGTATTTTGTCTCGTTTGCTAAAGTTTGTGATAGCTACTCACAGCTGCTGCACCATTTAAGGTGGAACGGGAACATTCAAACAAGAAGCTGCGACAAAAAGAAGCTAAATTCAGCCTCGTAGTTTAACACGGGTAGTGTTTTTGCTGAGGAGTTTCAGCTTATCAAAATATCCCACCCAGAGGTTTTATTTAAGGGTATATCTGTAAATATGCGCTATGGTAGAACATTTTGATAAGGTAGCACAGCTGGTCAGAGCACCGCCACAGCCCACCTTAGATTAGTGTAGCTTAGTGACATCAAATTAAAGCTCAGTAGCTTTAGCTCGCATATAGCAATATTAGTATTATAGCACTTTAACGACCTCGTAATTCAGAGGATCCAGTGGTATTCGGGAGAAAAATGTTCACAGGACAAAACGTATCGGGTTCTGAATATTTTTATTTAACACAGGGGGCGATAGAGGCGATTTTTTGAAAACCCTATCCATTCTGGCCATAGAGAAATGGAGCTCAGACCCGGAGCTCCTAATATGGGCAAAACGAGGACTACAGAATGACGCACGACTACAGTGGTCTATTGAACTATTCCCTTTACTATAGAAGAGAACAGTATGTTCACACTCACACCTCACTTGTTCCAATCCGTCTTTTTTTATTCAACATAAACTTCTTTCACCCCTTATTTTTCCTCAGTTCAGATCTTTTATTTTCTCTTTATTCAGCATTTCAACTTCTTTCTGTCTTGCACTTTCACCCACACATACATACACACTGCTCAATTCATTCTTCTATTCATTCTCCAATTTGTTTATCACACAAACAGACATATACACACTCATGTTCAGCACTCCGTTTTTTCTCTATTCAACATCCCTCAATTTATTTCTGTCATAGAACAATATACATAAAGGTATCTGGTCACATTTTGCATGCCTATATACAGAAATGGTAAACGAATGTAGAACCAGACATTAGGAAAACAACAGAAACACTCAGTCTGGGCTCACAGGTGTGACTGAAGACCTCTCTTCTAAAGCTTTATAGGCCGAACTGTATCAGACACAGTTTAAAGGAACACTCATGCTGTTCAACTCAGTTTGCCGAATCTGTACAGTTGTATTGTTTCCCTGAACTTAAAAAAGAACAGAAAACTCGTAAAGCATCTCCCCCAGTGGTTTCTATTGAAAGGGGCAGTCCATCCATTTTCAAAATTCTGCATATTTCAGTGGCTGAGAGGTAAACACTGAGTTGTCTGGTGTAAAATGGTTGATTTACAGTGGTGGTGATAGGAACCAGGGGTCGCCATGACTACAACAGAAATATAGACATTTTATTTACTTTCCAAAACCACCAGTGAACCTACACGAGTCTTCTGAGTTTATATTAAATGTAGATGATGGTAAAATGATGATGAAAAAATACAGCAGACTGAATGCAGCTCTCCACCCTGCATCTGTTTTAAATAAAAACACTGTAAAACAGCGTCTCAGGCATCAGACAGTGTATTCATAACTATTTTATGTAATAACTTTGTGAGGGAGCTTTTAGAGGTGGACGTCTGGTTCCTGTCCCCACCACTGTGAACAATTCTGACTCTGTTTCTCACACTAAACCACTCTGAATGACTTTGTTTACATCTTAACCATTTAATTATGGTGAAATCAGGGTTAGGTTAACTATGCAATCCTTACTGCATACAGATGCTTATATATGGTCGCTGTCGAAAAAAAAAGGTAAATTCTATTGGAGAAACTTTACAGAGAAGGAAAAAAACATTTTAATGTAATACAATTTTATTCAAAAACATTTTGATTTAATCTTAAATTATACAGAAATTTGACAACATTGGTGGTATTTCCCCTTAACGATTACTGTCTTTGCTAACGGCTTTACGGTACAGACGTGGCAAATAGAGATGAGGTAAGAAAACGCTGTATTTTTCTGTCTATAGTTTTTCTTTCTCAGGTGTTTTTCCCCTCTGAAAGCACAGCAAAAACAAGTTTTTCCTCAGAGTGTTTTCACTCTGAGATTGAGATTTTGTGTGGGTGATGGTTTGATGGCTGGACAGTCAAGGCCTTCAGACCCACCAGCCTGGAGAGAGGGAGCGCAGAGAGTGGGGGGATAGTTTTTTCCTGCCAGCTGTCTAACTTGAACTGAGGTGAGACAAGTGAGAAAGAGAAGAGAGGGAGTTAGAAGGGAAGGAAACGAGGTGAGACAGAAGTGAATAAAAAAGGGAGAAAAACAAAGGAGAGTGGAGAAGAGAGGGGGAGAACGAGTGAGAGGTGGTGAGAGAAATACATGGGGAGAAAGTGTGACTAGATCCACAGTAACAGTACCTCGTTCACTCACTCTCACTTTCCCTCAGTCACTCGCTCTGTCGGTTCGCTTCCCTGTAACACTGTCAGTCACGCATTACTGAACTACAACCACTCGTACAGATTAAACAGCTCTCTATTAAACGTCTCTCTAAAATAGACTTCTGTACTTTAACTCTCTGAGCTTATATATACAGCAGACGGGCGTGTGCAGGGAGGGGCCTGGGGCTCGTTAGCATTACTAACGGACACCAACCCCAAAGCCTGGATGAGAAAAGCTAGTTTGATAAATACCGATACAGCATCTGAGTGCCTACAACCACACAGGCGCAAAACAGTTCACAATAACACGACAAGACAAGACCACAGAAAATAAAATAACACAACAGGCTAAATCCAGACTTCTTCCTGGTGATATTTCACATATATGTGCTGTGATTATGTTCATTCACTATAAACTGCCAGTGCTAAGACACAAACTAGGACTCAGAGCCACTTCTAGTGAGCACAGCTTTACCTAAAAACATTGACCTCCCCACCAAGTTGTTTGATTTGCCCACTTCAGCATACATCAGGTCGGCTCTGGTCACTTAAAAGGTGAAAGCAGAAGCAGAAGAGGCCGCACCTCATGCAGGAGGTCACACGGGGTTACTAGGAGGAACACAGGGGCCTCGTGGTGAACAGGTTATGGACCAAAAATAAAAAATTCACACATTCGGTTTGTAATTAAAACTACACCCTTAAACCCTCAACCTCACTCATTTCTGAGAAAACAGTAGTAGCTTCAAAGCCTAAAAGACTGGTCTGATCACTCTCTTCAATAAACAAACAGGAAAAAAACACAATTTAAATAAAAAAGTGGAATGGAAAACAAAAACGACGATGTAAACAAACTAAGAAGTGTTGAGCGTCTCCCAAGCTTGGCCAGGATTCCGCTCAGCTCAACCCAAGGTCACAGTTGGGACCCCGTGACCGTTCTCAGACCATGAAGCGGTGCTCCTTGCCGTCGTGAGCCATGAGGATGACGTTGCGGTTGGAGGTCCAGATGAGGCGGGCGAGTTTGAGGGCGTTCTGTGATCCTGGAGATGCTGGCTGGACCGGAGGAACCTGGTAGGTCTTAATGCAGCGCAGCTGGGGGGCCGAGTTCAGCATGCCTATACTGCCCAGCAGAGACGTGTTCATCTGGGGAGGAAACAAACAGGCCCACGTTATTATCGTCTTAAAGGAGGAGCTCACTAGAAAAATACCCCACATGTAGGCCGAGACTGGCGTCTGAAGTTTGCTTCTTTAGTTTTATACATGAGGTACGAGCAGAGGTGAGTAGTTGGGGTGGGCAATATGGCAAAAATATCATGATTAGGGCTGGGCGATATCACATTATCTGTTGTTATCGTGATCAATTACATGACAGTATGCCACAGTATTCTGTTCTGAGTACATTGTGAATATTATGAAGTACATAAAAACACTTCCCCACTGCATGTTTGATTATAAAGAGCATAATTAGTCTTGTTCTGTTGGATTTAGTGTAACATAGAATGAGAAATATTGAATATAAATTACTGTATTCATAGTTAGTATGAGAAGTAAAATGTTTTTAATGGGACACTTGATTTTACTTATGCTTTAATTATTGATTTATATTTTCTAGATTTGTATTTTTATGTAGTTTTATTATTAGTTTTGTATTATTTTTTATAATTAAATATACTTTTATTATTTAATATGTTCTTATACATCATCAGTCCCTTTTTCCTGTATCAACTTGGCACCATTGGAAATGAGGGTCGCCGTTAAATTATCTCTGAGGTTAAATAAAGGTTGATTGATTGATTGATTGATTGATTGATTGATGTACACCCCATGACTCCGTGTTTTGTGAAAAAAAAAGTATTGTGATATTACAATCTTTTCATATCGCCCACCTCTAAGTATGATATGCATCACAATATTTAGTTTTTCTGAGATTAAATACGTTGGAACAGACGAGAGAGAACTTCTCGTGCCACATTTACAAAATACTATAATAAAAAATAACTACAAAGATTTTTATTCAATATTTTACAAACTACACTGCACTAGATCCACTAAAACAGGCCTAATTATGCTCTCTTTGTAATGAAACATGTAGTTAGTGTTCTTTAAGTAATGGTGAAATCCACAATATGCTCAGAAAAGTGTACTGTGACAGTTTATCATGATAACAGCCAAATTATTTTTGCCAGGTTGGTTGATTTTGCTGAATTTTCACTATTAAGGGAGCATATTTTTAGTAGTTAATATTGAAAGTACATGGGTCATTCTCCATTTGAAGTGGGAACCCATGTCACAAAGGTTGCATAGCTTTCCCTTATGATTTCTCTGATTTTTCTTTTTTTTTATCCTGTTGCATAGTCGCTCTGCATCTGCAAAACAGCTCGTCACAAAACCAATTTTCAACATTTGAGAAACCATTTTTAATATAAAAATATTTTTTAAGGGGTTTAACTTACTTTAACTTAACTTAATGTTTACTTTATATATCATTAACGTTATACTACATTTAAAAAATGTATTTTATTAAAATTAAAATTCATTTGTTACAGATTTTGGTCACTGGTGTTATCAGGACTTGTATTACATTTTATTACAGTATTTTCAGCTCTGTTAAAGTGCTTTGGGTCGAGGCTCATCAGAGAGGAAGCATCTCAAGGCATGAGGAGGCGAGTCACATTCCCTCACTATATTTCATTAATTTATTAATAATTTTGTTTATCAGGCAGCTCATAACTTCAATGTTAAAGTCACTGGTGTTGCACTATATTCATATAACAGCAATGACTTTTTGCATGTATGATAATAGATGTTGTTAATGGACGTGTTAAGATTATTTAGTTTTGGTATGAAAATTTTTTAAAAATGTATCCACCTGAATTCCCACTCCAAATGGGGAATGATCCACATTCAAGCTGTCATTTTGAGTGGCCCAATAATAAGTGGCCCGTTTTAGCCAGTTATATTGGCGCCACTGATTATGACCAAATTTTATTGACATTTGTTGAATGATTTGAATGTCTTGATTCTACCAAACTCTCACAGAAACACATTTGATCTCAGCCAGCTTACCTGCCAGAAGCAGATGTGGCTGTCTGCGTTGGAATAAGTGGCCAGGTAGCGTCCGTCTGGAGCGAAGGACACTGCTGTTATGGGGCCTTTATGTCCGTGGATATGCTGAGAAAAAGAAAACATAAAGAAAACAGGTTACACATTCGCTGGTGTGTAAACCAAAAGAACACGACTCTCAGCCAGTCACTGCTGAGCAGCCGTCTTCTGAGCACTATTTCCGTCAACAAAACTCAGAAACAAACCTGCAGTGAGAACGACGGTGGCAGCAAATTTGTCAGAATTATTAGTGAGAAATGGTGGAAAGGATTAAACTCTGAAAGACCAAACGTACAGTTCAGTGACGAAACTATTAAGGGAATACATGATAAGCTAAATCTAAGCTATCTAATACATCCAGATGCTGAAAGATTTCCCTGGTTTCCAGGTTCTTAATTTTTTTTTTCTACCTTTTATATTTTCATAAATTCTCAAACATTTACATTCTGTGGATGTTTTGTGGTGAACATACCAATAGATTTCGGCTCCGTAAGTAAAATGATTACATTCACTTACACACTTAACTCTTGTTAATGTAAGAAACTTTCTTCTGTAAAGGTTTTGTCCTGACAGTGACTGCATATTTTACAATTTTACAATACTGTTTTGGGGCAGAGTGTGTGTGTGTGTATATATATATATATATATATATATATATATATATATATATATATATACACACACACACACACACACACACACACACACACACACATGTATATACTCACACACACACACACACATTATATCTGTTGTCGGAAGAAAACTCCAAAATGGTAACTTTACAGGAGAAGGAAAAAACCTACTTTACTTTTAATGTAAGTCAATGGAACCAGTCCATTTGGCCCATTTCTTGTAGTGCATTCATCATGAACTCATGAACTTTACACACAATATAAAGGACAACAGGCATTTTCAAATGGTCAAAAACTGGAAAACAACAAAAATGGAGATACAAGGTTTTCATCACTTATTTTTAAACGCATGTTATTTATTTTATTCGTTCTATAGAATTAAAATTGTTTGTTTTAGTCTGTATTATATATACTACTTCATCCCTTTTTCTTCATTGTCAGTTTAACTGGAATGTCTCATTTTTACCTTTTAAGTTTAAATTTCATGTTTTACTCTTACAAAAATAAAATATTAGCTATAAAGGTAATATTTTTAAGATTGTGTATGTTTATGAAGTTGTATTCCACATATAAGAAGTCCTATCAGTGATGATAATACATGCAGAGACAGTAAACACTTATAAAAGCACAGCATATATAAAGCCCCATTCCCATTCCCTAATACACAAGAAGCCACAAACTAATAAATAAATGCCATTTTGAAGACACTGAAAGCTGAAAAAACAAGGTAAACAAAGTAAAAGAATCCAAACAAACAGGCTGAGCATGGATGCAGCTGTAGTAGTAGCTGGAAGTAGCCCACCTGGATATGAAAACGCTAAAGCCACTGAAGTCTGCTCAGTAAATTGGAGGTTGTTTAGTTGTTTAGCAGTAAAGTTGGTATGTGTACACACACACATCTCAGCGTCAGCACAGGAGTGCGAGAGTTGCTGACGGCTTTACGGCTAAAATCAATAAAAGATGAAGACGCTCTTCACCTTCCGCTTCCTCAACAGCCTGAACAGCTCAAGTGTATGTGAGCACCATGAAACTAAAACCATCTGTTCCACACTGAGCACAGAACACAGACCAACAAGGCAGAATACGCCATTTCAAAGTAGGCAGCTCAGCTCAGAGCTGGTCTGTCTGCAGAGCAGTAGTGGTGGGATCGCAGGTAAACACATCTAGATTTTCTTGTTCAGACTTTTGTCATCTCAAAGCTCGAGCCCTTTGATGCACCATCCTTTAAGAACGCATGGAAGACCAGCATCAACACTTCTCTATCCTGGACCTCAGGAGCTGGAACGACCTTCTGCTGGCTGTCTGGGGGTGTTTCACAAAACAGGATTTCTCAGAGGTTTGAAAACCATTGTGTAAAAATTAATTATGACCATATTTGTTCAATAAAACCACACTAATGTTATAAGTGGACCTGTACAAGAGAAATTTAGGATGTGGGCCTTTTAGACACACTAATAAGACCTACACTAATAACTACCAGATCACACCAAGAACTATCAAACTACACAGAGAACTACCAAACCATACCATAAATGACCAAGACGTTCAGAGAACTACCAAACCATACATAGAACTACCAAACCACACGCAGAACTACCAGGCCGTACAAAGCTACCAACCTACACAGAACCACCAAAACCATACACAAAACTACCAAACCACACAGAACTTCCAAACCATACACAAAACTACCAAACCACACGCAGAACTACCAGACTGTACAAAGCTACCAACCCACACAGAACCTCCAAACCATACAAAAAACTACCAAACCACACAGAACTATCAAACCACATACAGAACTACCAAACTACAAAGCTACCAACCCACACATAAAACTACCAAACCATACATAGACCTATCTAACCACACATAGAACTACCAAACCATACATAAAACTACCAAACCACACACAGAAGTACCCAACCATACAAAGCTACCAAACCATACATAAAACTACCAAACCACACACAAAACTACCAGACCATACACAGAACCAAACCGTACATAAAACTACCAAACCGTACAAAGCTACCAAACCATACATAAAACTACCAAACCACACAGAACTACCAAACCATACAAAGCTGCCAAACCATACATAAAACTACCAAACCACACACAAAACTACCAGATCATACACAGAACCAAACCGTACATAAAACTACCAAACCATACATAAAACTACCAAACCACACACAGAACTACCAAACCATACAAAGCTACCAACCCACACACAGAACTACCAAACCGTACAAAGCTACCAACCCACACATAAAACTACCAAACCATACATAAAACTACCAAACCACACATAGAACTACCAAACCATACATAAAACCACCAAACCCCACACAGAACTACCCAACCATACAAAGCTACCAAACCATACATAAAACTACCAAACCACACACAAAACTACCAGACCATACACAGAACCAAACCGTACATAAAACTACCAAACCGTACAAAGCTACCCAACCATACATAAAACTACCAAACCACACAGAACTACCAAACCATACAAAGCTACCAAACCATACATAAAACTACCAAACCACACACAAAACTACCAGACCATACACAGAACCAAACCGTACATAAAACTACCAAACCATACATAAAACTACCAAACCACACACAGAACTACCAAACCATACAAAGCTACCAACCCACACACAGAACTACCAAACCACACAGAACCTCCAAACTATACGCAAAACTACCAAACCATACATAAAACTACCAAACCCCACAGAACTACCAAGCCACACACAGAAGTACCATACCATGGAGAACAACCATACCATACCAATAATGACCAAACCACACCAACAACCAAACAATACTAATCATGACCAAACCAGTCCATTAATGACCAAACCTTAGACAGAACTACCAAACCATATCACTAATCACCAAACCATACGAAGAACAAAGTTATCTTACAGGTTTCTGACCAGAAAGCATGTATATTTTCTCCGGTTTAAGGAGGCGCAGCCGCTAACCAATCAGACGATGGTATATAAGTATCAGCACTGACTCTTATTTCTGCCAGTGTTTTAGCTCAGCGCTAGTTTGGTCTAGAACCTATTTGAATTAGCGAAAAAATATATTGAGTGAACGACAGAGCTCCTCTAAAAGCGTCTGTAAGCGGCTGCTAAACACCGAAAACGCGAGCCTGAAAAAACTTAAGTAAACGACAGATACAGGAGCACTGAGTGAGTCACAGACAGAATCGGGTGACCTTGAGCTGTGGACATACAGAAATACATTCATCACCGAGTTACACATCAATGAGTGTCACTCACTGTAAATAAAGTGTGTGCGCTGCCGTATGGTCGGCGCAGGGCGGCTGAGCAATGTTTAAAATCAAATACTTCAGGGACTTTTCACACCTTTCAGACCTCAAACAAAAATATAACCATTTTCACTGCACAACAATCTACTAACTCAAATATGGCACATAGTTTGTTTTATCCAAACACATTCAATCACGTGCACTATATGGACAAAACTATTAGGACACCCACATATTACAGCTACAGGAGCTTTTATGAATCCCATTCTAAATCCATAGGCATTAATAAGGAGTTGGTCCCCCTTTGCAGCTCTAACAGCTTCCACTCTTCTGGGAAGCTTCTACAAGATTTTAGCCCATTTATCCAGAAAAGCATTTGTGAGGTCAGACACTGATGTTGGCTCACAATCTCCGTTCTAGTTCATCCCAAAGGTGTCGGATGGGGTCGAGGTCAGGGCTCTGTGAGGGCCAGTCAAGTTCTTCCACACCAAACTCACCCAGTCAGGCCTTTATGGAGCTGCTTTGTGCACTGGGGCTCAGTCATGCTGGAACACAAAAGGTTCTTCCCCAAACTGTTCCCACAAAGTTGGAAGTGTACAGTTGTCCAGAATGTCTTGGTGCTGAAGCATTAAGATTTCCCTTCACTGGAACTAAGGGTTCTAGACCAACCCCTGAAAAACAGTCCCATATCATCATCCCTCCTCCACCAAACTTTACAGCTGGCACAGTGCAGTCAGGCAGGTAACGTTCTCCTGGCATTCGCCAAACCCAGACTCGTCCATCAGACTGACAGACAGAGAAACGTGATTCATCACTCCACAGGATACGTTTCCACTGCTCCAGAGTCCAGTGGCGGTGCTTTACACCAAACCACTGAATTCAGTGATTAGAAGGAGTGCACCAATGCCCAATATTTTTGTCTATATAGTGTATATATATACTTTAAGATGCTATCGTTCAAAACTCTGAGATCACTGTTCTCAAAAAATAAAAACAAAATGTATCAGGTAAATGTATGCAATGTTTCTATTGTGATGCTCTACAATCTTTCAAATAACTAGTGGGAAGCTGTAAATAAACAGGGCAGAGATGTTAGGATGTGTAGAGAATTAGAACAGAGCTGTGGAAGATTC